AACGTTTTTAAACATCATTACTAGACGTTAGTTTTTCGTTTCAATAGTACATAATATCTTAATACTATTTATTAAAATACTGTTGAAAATACTTTCAACACCATTTAAAAATACATTTTATAAAAACTTTTAAAATTTTTAACACTATTTGTTTTGTATTTTTCTTGAAACGCATTTTTTATATAGGAAATATTACTTTTGCAAAAGTAACTGCCTACATATATATTGAACATATTTCCATTTGTAAGAATAAAAAATAAATTAAATTTTTTAGAAAAACTATAATCAAATTTTATAAAATATCAAATAAAAATTAGTCTTCCGTTAAGACGATAAGTTAAAACTATTGGAGAGTTGCTTTGTGGTGTATATTATTGTATGTGGTTAATAATTACAATATTAAATAAAATATTATAATTATCATTTATAAATACTACACTATTTATTTGTATACTAATCACCGTTCTTTCCATTTTCCTTAGTAATCACTTCTAAAAGCTGACCTAAGGTAAAGAGATAATATAACATACTGCGATTAGTCTTTATTGCTTTTGTGTCTACATATATACGAATTAACTGCGTTAGTGTAAATGATGATTTCCGTTGTGTTCTATATCTAGTAGTTATGTCATGCTTGTTTTATTTTTTATGTACATTTCTATAGAAATAGCTACTGCGATTATAACACTAAACTATGATATGTAAACACATAATATACTGTAGCACTAGCGGTATAATCGTCGGGATTGGAACTCCATTTGTAATTTGCGAAAGAAAAAATAATGGTGAGACACGGTTCAGTGGATTGTAATAAGATTGTGTAAGAAACGGGAGAGATAGAGGTTTTGAGAATTTGGACATTGACGCGCAAACAACGACAAAGGATCGGACTCGAATACTTTTAGGTTTATACTCAGGTTATGCACATGTCATAGTGGCGCGACATTTCCTTTGGCTGATAACATTCAAACGCCAGTGAGGGTTGCAATTTATTTACCGTTCAGATCAGCCGTCATAGCTGACAACGAACGACGTAAGTGTAAATTACCATCATAGTACGACATTGCAAATTTGAAATTTCTCAGAGCATTTTCCATTTATGTGTGCAACAGAAAAAAAATACACTTAACGCGTCAGCAAAACCTGGAATCCCACTAAATATAAACACCGGTCGACGGCTCAACATTTTGATGTAATCTGTGCTTATAAGTCGCATACATACTCGTACGAATTATGCTGATCGGTCATATTAATATAATTATTGTCCGACCGCAACACGCTCATAAAATATTACACTATTCCTTCCAAAACACCTAATTCTCATTTTACAATAATTAAATTTTGCATTCTCTTGTCGTTTTTTTATTTCAACCGATAAAACAAATGCAAGACTCTGTAAAATACAAAATAATATCATAAAGGGCATTACTTATGACCTAATCTAACTGTTCCTATGGAATTTAACACAAACATGTAGTATGAGGAAATCGCAGCCCAATTTAGTGCCTAGAATTTTGTTTTTTTACAGTATTATAGTTGTAAGTGTTCGAAAACAGGAATGAAGAGGAGAAAGCATTATATATATATATATATATATGTATCTTTATAAATGTTTCTTGGAACTTAAATGAATGTAGCTTAGTTACTTTGTTACTATGTCGTTGCCCAAATAAAAAATAACATATATCATGCAGTTATAGTTGTAAATTATAAAACATGGAGTAGTTGGTCTGACCCTGTATGTACATTATAATACTGAATTAATTAATAGAACGCCACACTTAGGTACTACTTTTTAAGGCGTTATTATTTTTTTTTTACCTGATTTAGATTAAATCTAGATCTAAATTTGTTTTTGATATTTATTATAATATTATTGAGGATGCTTTTTTTGGTAATTTATTTTTTTATCAGACTAACACAACCTGCATTAAGGATTTCATAAAAAAATAGCCTCTCACATTCCCAGTGAAGCTTTTCTAAAAAACCAGTTTCCCTTAGACTTTTAAAAGACGTGAACTGAAACTGTACCCTCAAAGAGTTTTTATTGTAATTATATTATAACAATGTTATGATTTAAATTTTAAAAAATCATTTTTTTTTCCTTCACTTTTTTAATTTATGGTGAACCAAAAAATGATCATGCAATTAAAAAATCGTCGAGAGGGCCTAATATAGATGTGTATGTCGAAATGTCGATGTTAACCATGTTTATATGATAAATGTGTTTATAGATGTTTACAAAACGCTAATCTTTGTTCTGTCACGCCAAAACAGTATGTTTTAAATAAACAGATATTAATGAACATTTTGATAGATCGACTTTAATTGGATTCACTGGGTATTGTGTTCAGTTGATAGGAAAGAACGTAAACCCGTATGAAATAAATTATTATTAATTATAATACAGAAGTTGGAATTAATCGGGTTATTAATTGGGTTATCAAGACTTCCCTATTAGTACGCCTCAGAATGTGTTGTAACTAACGTTCTAAAAACAAATACCTAATAATAATAATAATAATAATAATGGGAAATAATTAAGAAAATGCGACCCGAGTAATAATTTATGTACGGTCGATCGTTTTAGAGCGGTTGTTAACTGACAGATAGGCATTGACGTGTCTGCAGTGATCACGTAAATCATTGCATGCAGGCGGACGAGCATTAATACATATTATTTATTTAGGATTCTGATGGTTACGAGATTGGGATTCAGTCGACCGTCTGAACTTCTGTTTGTTCAGTCGTTTGTCTTGCTTTCGACCGAATAAACACACTATATAGCATAACTCACACACACGTGGGTGGGTAAGATCCCAATGACGAGGAAAACACCATGTTAAAGTGTTCAACTAGCACCCCCTCGACACCTATGCCTATGTAGTAACCCGTATTCGTCTAAATATACATATTACATAAAATAACTTTAATTATACAGCTCAGATAAATATGTAATAAACATATATATATACGTGTGTTAGTAAATTTATGTCAGCTGTAAAATACTTGCTGTAACGCGATTTCTAACAATATTAGTTACCTATACGCTGCGTTTATTGATTGTATATAAATGATTATGCAATAATAATAATAATTAATCATTTTGCGTATTTCTATTCTAGCATTACCATTCCAATTATTGTCAAACGGCAAAGTACGCGTATTGTATTAAATGAACAGAATTCACATTTATGCGAAAACCAACAGTTATCGTTTTTACTTAATAGTATAACCTAGCTTATTAAAAAAAACTAAATCGGTTGTACAAAATTCAAAACAAATATAAATTAATAAACACATAAGTTTTTCTAAATTTCCGCCACTCCGTGCATTCGATATCATTATTATTACTATTTTGTTAAAAAGTTAACGACAATTATTATAATCTATATAGCATGACCTTATTTGCCTATAATCTCATGTACAAGTAGGGAATCTCTTTCAATAATGCATAATTTATTTTATGTATAGTATATACAACAAAATTCCAAAACTAAATATCCGTTTTGAACGTAAATAGCTGGTAGTAATGGAATTTAACGGATTATCTGGTTTCTCAGAATGGAGTTATTATTTTTAATTAATGGTGTAAACTACGCGTTTTGTAACGTTTCATACTTTGACTAATTATATTAAATAAATCCGGGTAATTTATCAAATCCCGATTTGTATATCCCTTTACGGTATACTTCATTATAACCCGAATTTCAGTTCCACTCCTAATAGATGCCTACTTGTTCTCTGAAATATTAATTGTTCGTATTTACGTACGTTAAATTAGACAGGATTTTCATAAAAGTAATCTTAATAAAATCAAAATTTAATTCTAAGAAATTCAAACTAAAAATGTGTTATAATTTTGTTTTTTTCGTTTAACATTAAGTTATTTCTCCAAGCTTCAAAATAGAAACTCGGTACTTGGTTAGATATAGATTAAAAAATTGTTGAACCCAGAAAACCATGACATCAAAAAACTATTTCGATTTCCGTAATCTTAAGTTTTAGAACTATTATAAATTATTAAGATAATATAGTTATTCGTATAGGACCTACACATTTTTTACCACCGACCTCATGAAAAACTTATATTGTCTTCCTAGACAGCAAAATTAGAGAAGACAGTGAAATACCGTATGTTTAGGCTTTTGCAACTCATATGAAGGGTACAGGGAAAAAACCAGCAAAGTCACTATTTTCTAATTTAAGAAAAAACACGTTTAAGTAATGTTAAAATATGTTTTAAAATGTTAAAGAAATCTTAAAACTTTGAAAATATTGTTTATTTTTGTTTATAATCATGCTTAAAAGTAAAGAACAGATTCGTTTTGTATCAAAACGAATTTTATTACAAAAAATTGCCATTTTTTAAAAGTGACTGCTGGTTTTTCCCCTGTACCCTTCATATATTATGCAATTTTTTTACGAAATTTCGTTTTTTAAATTAGTACACATATTTGGTACACAACTTTTATTTGGAATGTAATTACTTTAACTAAATTATCCATCGATTATAATAACAACGTACCTGTACAATTTTTTCGAATACGAAAATTCAGTCTTTGAAATTTCGATAATATTTTAATAATGTACGATAAAAATATCAAATTAATTTCGTTTCCATATTATATCCATGTACAATTTGATATCTTATGTTCCATATCAAAACCACTGCGCTATCATATATTCAATAAACAAACAGGACGTTACAAACAGGTGCGGTCAGATTTTTCCTCAATGATACAACTGTTGATAAAACCGGATAATAAGGTTGTCCCCTTTTAATTAACAGTTTTAATGTATTTTAAAAATATAAATTTTGTTTGTGCTCTACAGGTTGTGACTTGTAATACTCGTAATAATTAGGGCAATAAGAGCTAAGGTTAATACCAACGGACTACACACATGCTTTGCAACTTTCGGTATTCTCGCATTCATGCTAAACTATATTTGCGACTTTCTGTTACATAATTAACTTCAAAGCTAAGGTAATATTTTACCATAGCGTTGGCCGGATGAGCAGTTCCGGTAACGACGGCGGAGTCTGGTTGGTCGGATGCGGAAAGCAGTGAGCTCAGATGCGCTATGTACGTGGTAGCTAACCGCAAGGTATCCAACTTAGACAGTTTAGTGTCAGCCGGTACCCAAGGCAATGTCGTTTTCAGCCGGCTAAACGCTTTGCTCAACACCCGCATTCGCGCTCTTTCCCGAGCATTAGCCGCGTTCCTAGGACATCCCTCTTCCAAATCGTGCTGTTGCTGTTGCTGCTCCGACCACCAATCTGGTCTGCGTCTGCCCATGTCACATCTGTAATGAAAACAAATCCTATAGAAGTACCCATGGGACCACTGCTACATGGTTAACCGTTATATTATAATTCAATAGTAAATTCTATATTTGTTTTTAACTAAGTTTTAACATAGCGTAAAATAATTTATATTTTGTTACATTTAATGTGTTATTTTATGGTTTTATTGATAAAATGTAATATTTGTACTGCTTACAATTTTAAACGCCATTTCAAATACAATTTAAAAAAACAAATTCCTCATCACATTTGTTAAAATACCGCTATATTTAAAAAATGCTCTTGTTCTATATGAAGTATTAATAGTTCGTTAGTATTATTAAATACACGATCCATCGCTTTTTTGATTAGGTTATCCTATCTAGTATTACCATATTTGTTGTAAGATATAAGTAATAGGATTTAAAACTCGCAATTTATAATATGAGATTCGAAATTTATGGCAAAGGTTATAGTTTGACTTTTTATCTTTAATTCTGATAGGTACATTTTTTTGGTTATTTTTACAACAGTGACTACTTAATTTGTAAAATAAATAATACATGATTATATTATCTAAATCCGCTTTTTGTCCTTCGATGTAAATATTATCAAAAGGTGGGGGAAATATATTAATGGGCTTAAACTAAACATATGTGATAAGATTTACAAAAAATGACTTAAAAAGTAGCACCATATCAATAGAAAGAAAAGAAAGTTCAATGATAATCGTGTGCCTATTTTTGTAATCATACTTTACCATACATTAACAAACATTCGAAACTCTTTTGTAATAAACCGTAAACATAAAAATGATTTTACTTTATTAAATTAAAAAAGTAATATTTTGAAAGAGTAGAAGAATGTAAAGTAGAAACTAAAGCGAGCTTTTAAAGGTTTTATAGATTCAGAAAAAGTATAAAACAACTCTAGAAATATTTTGACTGACATAAATAAAAAATATCCAAGTTAAGCCTCTGGAGGATATCCCTGAAAGAGAAAACCGTTCTAGAGTGGGGAGATGGATGTTTCTTTGGTAATTTTTGTACTCTGAGAGTGAGGCATAGTATTATTTGATTTTCTATGTAGCGAACGAAATGACAAATAATGTGCAAGGTCGAGGTACTATGATTCTAAACGATGTTTTGTTGGTAAGTAAAAGATTAGTATCGGCTTGAACGGTAAGTACTTTAGTAGTGCGGTTTTTTGATCGATTAGATTTTGATAAACCTCAAGGGTATGATCTGAGACACTATATAAAAAATGAAGAAGGTTGGTAAATTGCAATGACATTGCACGTGCTAGGACAATAAGATAGAAAAAATTCTCAAAAATGATGTCTACCTTTGTTGAATGTTGGAGACAGTTTTAAGTAAAGGTTTAAGACTAAAGCGGCTAAACCCAAATACTTATGAAAAGTGGCAAGGAAGCAAAGTAAGTATTTCAAAATTTTAATTAAACTATCTACTACTAACGAATTGCCTGACAATGTTATATTGTAATAATGATAGCATGAATGATGTATAATGGTAATTTTATCACTGTACATATTTAAATATAGAATAACAAAATCATGGATTAATTGATGAATTATTCAAAAGAATTCCTATACAAGGACAAAAATGTTCAAGAACGTTAACCAACTAATGATAGATGTAATATGCCTAAAACATTATATTTATTTTAACTTTGCAAGATTATGCTCTACCTAAGAGTAAATAACAATTGTAGTAATTCATATACAATAGCCTAATGTGATCTAGAGCCAGTTTGTATATAATATGTCAACATATTATTCACAACACATATTATTATAATAACGCGTAAATAAAAATAATAAACTACAGACAATTGTTTTTTCTTTATCCACGCTAGTAATTTGACATTTTATTACACATGTTATTAATTAAATTATTAAATAATTTAAATAAAATATTTATTTTCTATGATTTATATACAGTAGGTATAGGTTTGTGGCCGCTCACAAGCATAAAAACATTTTATACACTTCGTTTTTAACGCGACACTTTTATAAAAAATATTCTCACTGGTTTTAAAACTAACCAAATAAAAAACAAATTGAAATATTGTCCTTATACGCTTTTCAATATTTAAATAAAAGTTTTCGTTCACATGCAAAACACAAATATTTATTTATTATAAAATATAGTCGTATATGATACTAATCAAACGAGACCCAGAAAAAATTGTATACAGGAAACTTAAACTTTGTAAACCGGAAAAAAACAAGCAGATAAAAGTACAATATACAACTCTGTTTTATATGTTAGACATACGTCTAATGATTATTAGACTCTTATTAAAGTAAAACATTTTTTTTTTTTGGTGGATTTTATTAAATTGACAAGAAGACAGAATGAAAACGATATTTGTAATGTATTTTTTATGAGTGGCGAGCAAATAAATGAACAATTAGCCAAAAATATACAGATAGAAGATACATTTTAATTAGGTACGTAAAAAACACTAAAATTTTTTTTTTCAATAAGACACTTGTTTTCAATATTTAAATTTGCTTGGAATATGATAGAATATCGAAATAAATGTTTTAATTGAAATATGTCTTAATTATTTCTTGTGTTTTTTAGAAATTGTAATTTCGATACTTAGCTATTATATTCTAAAAAATTTAATTGTTTTAAACAACTTATCACATCTCATCAAACGATCAGTCCTTTTAAGTAGTTTCTTAGATTCAGAGACCTCGTTGTTCTGCTTTTGCGAAACTACAGTTGATCTCACGATAATTTAACCTAAGGACACAACTAGGATATCGCAGATTATCATAGTTTTAAATTTATCAAAATTGGTTCAGTAGTTTAAGCAGGAAGTGAGAACAAATTAATATACACACATATTTCCATACATTTCATTTAAACAATACTCTCCTTCCGCAGTCGAGTAAAAATAGTTGTCAAGCCAGATCAAAATATCAATTACCTTTTACCTTCAGCGGTCAAGCAAAAGGTTATTAAAATTTTTATAAATACAATGTAAAACTTGGTAAATAAATCCAAAGCTAATTATTGCACGACGTTATGAAAACTTACCTACTAAATAAATATATGTAAAAAATTTCTACTGATGACCGTGACACGTTACAAATCCAAAAAGTAGTATTTATTACAATAATAATACGATAGTATGTTTATTTTATTTATAAAATTTAACTCTGCACAGTTATAAATCAATAACTATATTTTGTGAACCAATTATGTTCTAGAAATACTTTATTATTGAATAACTAGGTCATTGAACTATTATCTATTCATACTACTGCGAGATAAATCTTTTATATTTTTACTATTCAATTTAAACTAAAATATAGCAAGAATATCGGTCGTTTGATAATTAAGATAAACTAATTACTATTATTTGTTAAATGATAATTAATAATTTTAAAAATATTGTGAGATTATTTGGAATCTTGATTATGTAATATGTTTTTTAGAAATGTATAATACCAACCATATTAAGTGTATGAATAATAATTATTATTCACTTGTAATACATCGAAATAAAAGTAAATTATTTTTTACCAAAAAAACATTATTTTGAGCTGATTTGATTATTTATTTATAGTGTGTTCAAAGTTAAATTAGAACGATATTATGATTATTATTTTCCTTAATTTTCTATATTATATATAACGCTTATTCCTCCACATCTATAGACTTTAGATTTAGCAACAGGAGTATCTCAGAATATAGAGGTTTTCTTATGTCATAATTTTACACATGTGTATATATAACATAGGAAATAAAAATGGGTTTAATTAAATCGTTTCACTCTTAACAACGTTAAATGTGTAATATTTTTTCAATAATTGAAAACAGACCGTAATTAAAATATTTATTCTACCCGTAACGTTTTTACTATTAACTATATGAATGATAACAATACAGAATGTTCAAAATATATGATAAATAAATTGATAAATGCGTTGTATAAAATACAAATACAAACAGCACATACTGCACAAAACAAAACGTATTATTTCAAAATATAGCAAGCATATTAATAAAATATTTAAAAAAAAATTTTCAAAAAAAATATTTTTACGATAATTTACCTCGAGATGTTAAGTTTATTCATTGCTGTATCGGATTACAAAAAAATGATTTATATACCTGATAATAGCTAATATTTGTTCTGTGTAACATTAAATATGATATCACATTTGCAATGAGATATGATATGACATCTTCAACTGTTATTTTTATTTCATCTTATTCGCAATTTTGTATATAAAAAAATGTAAAAAAAAGATGTGTAGCGTTTATTTATTTTAAACTCATTTATATATTAAAATAATTCTATTAAATATGTATAAATGAACGTATTAATTATTAATTTATTACTTATTAGTAAAATAATATTAAATGGAAAATTGAATGTATATTAAATAAAACGATGAGAGGAGAAAAATTAAAACGAAATGGCTAACAATGAATTTTACGATGAGCGTCCGGAGTAAAAAGTATCGTCACGTAAGATCCAAAGGAGTGTCTTAGCTACTAAAAATACGATTTAGCTACTAATTTCCGATTTAATGAAATGGGAGGAGCTCCAAGGGACTTCCTCAAAATGGGCCACCAATAGTGCATGGTCGTAGGAGGAAATCATACGTTTCAAACCGACATCAACCCTGAAGATTAGCGTTTGGACAGGTTTATTTTTGTCTTTCTTCTAAAACATGTACTAACGTAGAATCTTAAAAGAACCCTGTGTAGAATATAATATGGTGCACATAATATTTCATGTGCACCAATGGGGAACGCGATACATTATATATGATACACAATTAAAGGCACGACGCGTTTAAATTTTGTAAACAAAATAAAACCATAGCATCTATATGTATAAAATAATACTTATATAATTACTATAGCATTAGAGAAAAAATTCTGAAGTATTGTGAGATCAAAAGATCTATTTTCAAATCACTCCGTAACGAGTAATCTTACCCAAAAAGTAATAAATGTAAAATTTTACTATACTAGAACAAGTAACAACGATTAGGTTTGTTCATTGTTGTACTCGACAATATCAAAACATAACCTTATTGATTAATGAAATTATAAAAATAGTATTTACAGTTCGGAAATAATAAACAATTACAAATGTATGCTAATGTTAGGCATTTCTGTTTCCTTAGTATACAATTTTTATAGTTCCCTCGGGTGTCTCAAACACTTGATGCTTTGTCATACATGTCTTAATACTTATACTTATAATAAAAAATACCTAAACAATGTCAAATCTAGTAATTCGCTTTTAGGGGTTTTAATGTAACCAGCTAATTATTTTTTAAAATTCATTTGTTGGCCCTAGGCATTTGGCAATGAGGCTCCTAACTTCTAGAATATTTGCAATTCCAATAAATATTAATCTAAAACTTTTAGTACCCCTAACATATTTGTTTAATATATTAAAACACTTCAAAAATAATACAATAATCAATATGGCCTTGCATCTAAATTGTATTAATATAAGACATTTGTATACTAGTCTACGGTTTACCTTTATGACGTATTTTTTTGAAAAGAACAATAATTAAGATATTATTACCAGATCGATAGTTGTATTTTAGTAGGTATATATTTAAAGAACAGGCTATAGAAATAACAATATAAAAGAAAATAATAATGAAAGAATATAATAGAAATAACAATAACAAAACAACTTGGAATACATAAATTATGATAAATACAGTAACAAATCCATTTTTATTTGTGATAGAATCAAACATTTTTACTCTGAAAGTTGCCACTAGCATCATTATGGGAAATGTAAATTTAAAAGTTACTAGTTGTTCCTCCGTTAACTCATCCATAGGTAATGTTTGAGAATGATAATATATTATAAGGACTTTGGGTAACAGCCTGTTTGTTTTAGTAAATGTATTTAATCAATTCTTAAGGTTATATTTTAAGATAAACATGAAAAGCTAAAATGAAAAAAATTTACTACCTAAAACAATGTTCACCCGAACAAAAAACACACACACGGTTGTTTTTTTTAACATATATATTACATAATTATGATTGTTTACGAATATCTGTCGATTAATATAAATAATGACCTCTTCAACCAATAAAATTAATAGTAACAAAGAACACAATGCTTTTAAATATAGTAATATGCATTATTATTTTTATTAATATTGAAAATGTAGAATATTTACATTATTATGCAAATAAAAAAAATAGCGTGGACTATTTATGATAAATGGAAACAGTTTACTAATAAATTGTTATTATTATTGATATAGTTTTGTAACTGCTAACAACGATTGTGTTTAATAAGCATTGTGTATTAACTTAAAAGAAACACAAATACATATATTTTCTTTATCATTTAAGTGTTTAAATCAAATAATTTACAACGAATAACAATTATTATACTAGCGTTAACCAATATTATGTTATGTTAAATACATTTAAATGTTTCGTTTGATAACTTATTGACATCTCTAGCCGCTAACGCTTTATATTTAATATGTTACACGGGTATGTAATTATTAAACTCCAATATCTGATATTACCCTTAGTGTTTGATGTTAAATAATACGTGGTTCGTTTCAAAATCTCAACTGCTAAAATAATATACTAACAGTGCGTCATAAATTATTATTAATATCATCATCATTATAGTATATTATACAGGTAAGATTTTACAGGAGCTGCATTAAGATTCAAATATAGAGCAAATAATATGTGACAGTATAGAATCTGCAATGCTAATAATTACCGACTATAATTATTATACTTGGTATTAGCTACATCTATCAGTGATAGATTATCACCTATGGACTATGAAACACGTGGTGAACGATGGTATATAATATTATTCAGTATTTTTACAATCTTCGTGCGAGCTGCAGCTGATGCTGTTTAGAATATGTACGACACATAGTTGACAGGGTCATCACACATATTTTACTCGCGCTTCGGTCTGGGGTCCTAAATAAACATAATGTTTGCAACCGCATCGGGCATATATAGATTTTAACCGTATTATATGTCTGCTAACAGCGATGAGCTATTAATCTTACGTTACTTATCGACAAAAAAATCTATGGTACTCGTGAAAAAATGGACTAATGTATAATGGCCACGAATGCAGTGGTGGTGAAGATAAGCATTTGAGGAATTTTAAAATAATTAATGTCAACGGCCTTAACCATAATATTCAAACGATTGTTATAGAACGTAACAGAGAAACGCCGTACCAGTGAAAATAATGAATGGACTTTTAAATAATATAATATCAATTACCGACATAATATACTTTATCAGTGTCCGATTGTATGTATACCAAATTACATTATTGGTGTTTAATAATGATTATTTAATCATTTATTACCATATAAGATACATTGATAATGACCGGTTGAGTGCGGTTCAGACTTCAGCTAATATCATCTCTTCTACAACAAAAGACACCTACAGAAAAACTACTATATGTTAAGCGAACGCTGTTCATTCCAAATTCAACTGTAGTAATGGTTTTTGGGTAGACTGAACGACAAACGATTATTTTTTTTTAAGAGTCCGGCCAGATGAAAAATGTTAACGCCAAATCCTCTCGGCGACACGTCGCTTGAAAGTACCTACGCCTATTTCACGGACTGTCAGTGTATTTAGAACATATGTGAAACCTTATGTCGTTTACGATGCACCTACCATTATCAAATAGGCGATGGATATTATTAATAATTATTATTAATGCTTATAATAATTAATGATGATAGAAAATGGGAAGTAAAAAAAATATAGCGTCTTAATAAAATGACACAATTATTTGGTAAATTGATAAATGTATGAAAAATATGAATGAATAAAATATTAAATCATCAACCAATAGGACACTTTTGTGTTTACTACAAATACATTTTTTAATTCTAAACAAATTTGTAAAAATGTCTTATTAATAGGCAAGCATATTATTATACTATAATTTTTAAATAGCCTCTAACCACTTAAAAATGTGCGAAAAATCGTTAGTTTATATGCAAACCCCATTCTTCAAAAATTATTTACAGATTTTTCATAAAGAGCGAAAGTATAATAAATTTAAACCGTTCTATAACTTGTTTGTAAATTATTTGCATTAAATTATGCAATTTTTTGAAGTAGAAAATATAATTTAAACTAGTGGTAAAATTACTTTATATTGTACAGATCGTGTTGCACAAGAATGTAATGCAAAGTCCTTCATAAAAAACAGCTGTTTTTTAAATATATCTAAGCTCTCTTTAAAATTAATTATTGTTCGTATAGGTTTTGTTACGGTTTTCTTTTTAATAATAAAGTATGTAGTTATAATCTATGATCCATCTTATAATTGATAAATTATTTAAGTTTTAATCAACAGAATTTAGATATTGTGGATTATGCAAGTGAATTAACTTTTTATACAAGTTACACAAATAGAGATTAGAGTAGAATGATTATTTAATAGAACTGCACATAAAATACATTCAAGTCAATGTGTCAGGTCATCATAATACATAATATCTCTATATTATATTACAATAATGTAACCCACACATATTTCTAAATGTTTCGTTGTTTTTTTGGTGGAAAATAGTGTTCATATAATATTTGTTTGATATCCTGAAAATACTTAATATAAACATTAAACTTGTAATTATTATTTTGTAAGAATTATTGTAATATTGAAACATCTGTATTTAATAATATTTAGTTTCCTGCCAAACCGTGATTTAAAAATACGAAGACATTTTTTTTATAGTGTGACAATAGTTATACAATATTATATTTTTATAATGAATTTTTTTAAAAATATTTTTAAAATATATTATTGCTATGTGCGCCTGCCGCATTCGTATTATTTTAAAAGTATTTTCCTTGATAAAATAATGATATATTTTATCTATTATCGGGCGTCATTCGATGGTAGCTTCGGTAAACTATGACTTCGAGTAACCTTGGATTGGCAAAACGATATATTTAGTGTTTAAGCCCGAAAACGGGTAGAACAATAATATAGTTCACAATATTATCTTATTATTCTGTATTCAGCTTTGACGTTACAAAAACTATAGACGGATATCAAAAGGAATATCTTGAAATTCACAAAAACACAGACCTTCAGGTTTACACGGCTGTCGTGTACACTATGGTCTATGTATTCTCAAATAGGATCACGAGCATTACAGTTATAATTATTATTATTGCGACTAAGGCATGGGGCATTAATCAATTTTGCGGTGTGTTTTGGGCGCTAAGATCTCTGTGCCTCGTTCACCCACCCTCTCTACATTGCTGTCAGAAATTTCTTAGTACACCGCCACCAGCATCGCCAAAACGCCAAACATCGATTAGCTTTTAACTGCAGGGAGCTCTATGTTGACTTGGTCCCTTTTAGTGCGAAAGCAAGGAGACGGATGACCCAAAACAAATCTATTGTCGGTGGATTTTAGTGATGGCCGAAAAGGCTCAGCACGAATCTCTGGACTTAAAATGAAAATGACAATAGCTTGTTCGGTTAAACATTTTGCATTGTGAGACGTCGAACGCCACGGCTACGTTAAATTGATAAAGTTTTGCCTTTTTAAACTACTTTCCTTTTGCAACCACCAACAGCTGTAAATATATATATATATATAATTTTAAGTTTCATGCGCATACCGTAGTGTATATACAGATGAATACGTAATTTAATATTATGCATTCAAACTCCCCAACACGCGTTGAAAGAATATATATGTATGACAATAGGTCATTCTAAAACTTTTCTAAGTTTTTAGTATCTGCATATGATAGTTGTTATTGTAGTATTTGTATAAGCCCCAGTGCTTCGTAGTAACAACATTGCTCGTTTCAAAAAACTTGTCTTTTCCATTATAGAATTATAGTACCAATATAAAATACTGTTATTTTATTAAATTAATTTACATTTTTCATTTTAAATCCTTTTATTTGTATTCAATTGTTGAGCCGTAGTATTTTCTTTAATAATGGCTAAACAAAATCTTTTCACTTAATAATTTCGCGTCTTATTTATTTCGTATTTTCATATTGGTATTACAGTGCCATTTCAGACATTTTTTAATATAAATTCTGTACTTATAAGCAACCGCAGTCCACCTTAAGGCAAAAAAACTGGTTATACCTATTAATATTATATGAACATGATTAGATAACAGATAAAATACTATAAATAGACAATAATACTCTTGTGTACATATGAAAATAGAAATTAAGTACAAGCGACCGAATAAAAAAACGTCAACTAGTGGGAACTTAATTTATAGAAACGAGTTATATGTTGTTTTCCACTCCGGCCTAAAAGAAATCTCGTAATAAATGATTTATAAAACTATGTATTTTAATTTTTAGCTAATCTTTAAAAAAATTTTAAAGTAAAAATATCAAAACAATGTTCTCTAAATAAGCAAAAACAATGGTTTAACCCTTTCGTTACTGACATCCTCGTGCGAGGATTTAACTTTAAAAATAGAATAAAATATTACCTACGTACTATCATTATCAAAAATGTCTTTAAGCACAAGTTCAAGTATAAATTGATGATAAAAAAATCGACACAGCTACATTGTTAATCAATATCAATCCGATACGTAAAAAAAAAATCCCAGGAACGAAAGGGTTAAGCATTTTTTTTATTGTTCTGTAATTTGCAATGATTTTATTTGTAGGTATAATATTAAAAGTGTTTTGAAGATTTAAAAAAACAGTTGTCAACTATCGCTTTTTTATTAGTAGTTTGTTCATTATTGTAGTCGAAAACAAAATGGCCATTATCTAAAGTAGAAATGTAAGTAAGCTAAAAACTAGAAATGATAATTACTGATTTACAATATAGTAGTTATATGTACAAGCATTATTTATTTGGCATTAAATAGACATTATCAGTATCACGCGAGCCTAAATGAGTGCTTATTCTACGACAGTATTTTTGTTCATCGACAAAGAACTGTACCTCTGTTGAATTGCGAGTTATAAATTAAATTTGGAAAGGGGAGTAGACCTACGTTTAAATTTCCTGTAGCAGTATTATTTTTTTGGAATGGGGGAAACTAAAGGTTTAACATTTGGTTTTCTTCCCACGTGTGAGTGAACCCCACCAATAGCACCGATTTCTACAAACGGCCAAAGAACCATTTTATATTATATTATAGCCTATAGACACTATTTAAGGTTATACTATTTAAGGTATTAACCATCATAAGGTCAAATTAATCATTTACTAGCAACGAGGTTCAAATTTCATGCAAATATAACACTTACTTTGTTAAAAATTATTTATTATAATTTGTCTAACATCATAATTAAAAAAAAATAGTTTATCAATTATTCTGCCTTCTGCATAACACAATGTGCTAAACACCGTATTGAAAAATAATTAACCATATTCACAAAATAGATAAAGAAATTCTGGTTAAGAGGTCCGGGTAAATTTTAAACAATAATCATAATTAAAAAATAGGTAGCTTAAAAATGTGACTATAATATTATATTATACATTTTATCTGTTAAACCGTAACTACACAGCCATCGCTTCCCAACTACCTATGGTTTATGTGTATAGCATGTAGGTATACTGTTTAGGTTTAATATTATTATGTCTTTAGAGAAAAACGTACACCACCTTAATAATATATTGTATCTAATATACATGTGTAACGACTAACAGGGGAGAGGGATATGTTTAACCAGCAGCTGCCGTTGCAGTGGTCGCATTCAATAAATACAAAACAGTATGCTGCATCAAAAAATGAATAGAATTGATATATTATCCTGTACAAGAAGATAATAGAAATGGTACAAAATGAATTTTTGTATAGGCAAGAGCGAAAAAAGCAATATTATACTTGCCTTTGAAATGATATTTTTATAGATTTTCAAAAAATTGTACTTGATGTAGTAATACCGATTGAAATTGCATTTACGGAGAATAAATTTTAATTGGTAGATAACAGTCAACAGACAACATATTATATTTGTTTTATTAAAAAGTGATAAATTTATACCTACTGTGTTATTATATAAAACAAGTTTTTTAACAGCTATAGTGTTTTTAAATGTCCTTGCCGAAATACAATTGTTTGGGTGTGTTGACTCTATTATAAATCCCTAATTAATCACCAATCGCAATTAGTCCATCCAACTGTTTTTATATTTTACCTATATTAAAAATGCTGTGTCATCGTGACTTAATGAATTTAAGAATTATATTTGGATTGTAGTGTAAATTGTAATGCTTTCTTAACGATGGGTTATTTTAAAAATGTTTTAAATATAATATTGGCGAAAATGAGTTAACCGTAGACGATGAAATTAATACGTTTTATTTCTGATCTAAAAAAAAAACCATAAAACAATATTGATGAAGTAGCTTAGTTTTAGAAAAATTGAAAATTATAAATTTGATAAATATTTTCTTTTCTTTAGCATTACAATTAATTGGTCGTAAAAACAAAATATTTTTCATATTAATAAAATCATATAATATTATAGAGCCTTCATAAATTTACCGTAGCTTTTACCTTTTCGTCCAGTATAACTGTAAAAGTTTACTATTAAGAATGTGTTAAGCAACTTACAGCCTGTACAGCAAAATGTATAAATATATTTTGTTCACACTGATTTTTTTTAAACATTTTCATATTTTAAAAATATGTTTTAATTACTTTTGATTATTATTACACCTACATCAAGCATCTATAAAAAGGGTTAAAAAAGTTAAAAAGTAATGTTTACTCTTTCTACTCTTCTACATAATTGTCATTTATTACATAAGAATGGTACTTATATAGTAATATATTTTGGAATATTATTAATCCATCATCAAAGGGTTTTTAGTTCAACGACGATAAGGACGGTTTATAATATAATTTTTATTATTAAAATATTATGGATGGAACGTTGCCGGTGTGAAGGTCGCCTACGTCACACCGGGTCGTGCTGTGACCGTTCCCCGAGTCCGGTCGTCTCAACGCGCGTGTGCACATAATAATATTATTATTTCGTCTGTTCTCGTTGCACCGCGGTGGTGGGAGAGGAGGAGGTGCCGTGTCGGTGGCGGTGGACAGCGACGGCGACTAGCCCGATAAACGATTGTATTCTACGGCGGCGGCGCAGGCTGCGCCACTGTTGACTGTTTTTATTATTGTTATTATTATTATTATTTTTTTTTCTTATTCCACTTCATCATCCCACTTGTGTGTGTGTGTGTATAATATTATCCGGCGGTCGTCTGATAAACCCCGGTGGCTCGTTAGCGCGTGCGTGAATTTTAGCTGTTTAAACGTCGCAATTATTACAACGAGTGTGTGTGTGTGTGTGTGTGCATGTCGTCGTCCGGACAGTGACAACAATAATAATTTCGTTATAATATTGTTACGCGGTCGGTGCGAAATACTATACGGCGGTCTTGTGTGAAACACCATGTCGCTCTCGTGAAGTCGACGCGATAACGATTGATCCTCGACTCGGACAGTGTTAAGGCGTGCCGCCGTATTGGTTTCTTCGATATTAATTGATTGGCCGTTGTAGTTTCCATTGTTCCGTTGCACATTCGTGGTTGTTTGCACGAGAGACGGCGGTCGTCGTCGTCGCCATGGATTCGCTACGCGAACAAGTCATGATCAATCAGTTTGTGTTGGCCGCCGGATGCGCTAGAGATCAGGCCAAACAGTTGCTGCAAGCCGCTCACTGGCAATTCGAAGTAAATAATATTATACATACACTCTTAATGGTTAACCACAGCGCGGTGTACCGCCGTGCTAACCGTGGCTAGTGCAAAATGTTTACATTATATAGTTTTGCGTCCCGTGCGCCGATGTTTTGTAGTGGTTTACGATGACCTTGAACTTAGAAAACCTAGGACGAGGTGTTTTTTCTGTACTTTTTTGGGTGCAGTTCCATCTGGACCCTTTGGACACCTGAGACACGAGCCCAGATGCCGGCCTTGTGGGGGCCCCAAATAATGCAATTTACATCTTTACGTTTTTTTTTTGGTTTTCTTGAAGGCCCTCCAAACTCTGTGTGCCCTAGGGCCTCTGCATAGCCTAAGATGGCTCTGCTTGGGTGGTAGGTTCGCAGACAACCAAAAACTTGTATAGTGCCAATCGAGCGTTGAGTTAAAGCAACAGTCGTATTTCTCGACTTGGCCGTGCAGTCTATTTCTCTTTTTTAACGATTCTCCACTACTGACAGTATATCCGTTCTCAGAAAACGAGTTGACAAATTTTATTTTGAGTGATTATAATTTATGTACAAACCAAAATGATAAAATAGCGTGGAACAAATATGCACAGGCAACAATGAGTTTGATTTACTCAAATAAATCTATTTGATTACGTTAGTAAAAACTTAACTCGTTCAGTTTGAATTTTCATCATCTCTTTCTTCGTACATACTTCGTTTTAGGTTTTATTTTGCCATTTTGGCATAGGTAGTAAAAACATACAGTTTGATATAGTTATAGATTCTAATAGTCAATCTTAACTCCTCAATTTGATAACCAACGTGTTAAGATAAAATTTAAAATTTGGCTTTTAAGTTGAATTTAATAACTATTAAATTTACTTGTCTCTATAAGTATGTACATGTTTTAGAAGGTTTTTTTCTTGTTAGCCACTGCACCATATACTTTTTTCTAGTTTCACTTATTAAATTATACCTATTTATATTTTGTTACAGACTGCATTGAGTATATTTTTTCAAGATTCTTCTGTAACAAGCTGTAACCAAAATGCAGCACAATTTGGATTTGGTCAAGTAAGTGTTAGGAGTTATTAGGCAATGCTGATCAAATTCGGAATTTGTATTTATAAAATTATGTTTAACTTTTAGATGACTCCGTGTAATACCCCAGCTACACCACCTAATTTTCCTGATACTTTGGTCGCGTTTTCACGTATGACCACTTCTTCTGAAACTTCCAAATTAGGATCATCACCCAGTAAGTATAAATACTATTTTTTTTCCTACATAAATTTAGTATAATATTATTATTTATTTGTCTGTATCATCTGTTGATTATTCCATTTGGTAGTATTTTATTTACAGTCTATAATATAACATTATAGTATTTGTTACCAATTTTATAAATATGTAAAGCATATTGTTTAGGTACTTTAATGGAAGATTATATTTAATTGAAAGTATTTGTTTGTTTAGTATTATGCTTTTACTGAAATAAAAATTTGTATTAATTTTTTTCCAGATATGTCCGTGTCTCCTCAAAATAACAGAACCTCATTTGAAAATAGTCAATCAAAAAGGCACACTTACGCCCATATAGCTCCCAACACAGTTACAAATAACACATAGTTAACAAGTTGCTTACATTTGTTATTTTTAAAATTAACTTAGCCATATTATTATTTTAGTATCCAAAGATGATAATTTGCTTTCATTGTAACTTTTACTATAAATAATTGTTTAGATATTACGTTTTATCATTTGATTGTTATTATTATTATTATTATTATTTTGATTTATTGTTTTATTTCTGTTAGGTATTTTTCATTAGATTAAGTGACAATATAAATCATATAGATACCTACTCAAATTAATATTAAATAATTACTCTGTAATCTCTGTTTCTATTTTAATGTACAGACTATAAAGTAATTGCCCTTACACACATATAATTAGAAGAATTTTGAGTTAAGTTGTTATTAATTTCCTTTTACAAGTTTAGTTGTATCATCTTGTACGTTCTCATATTACTGATTTTATTTTTATGTATCTTTTATAGAAAATATTCATTATTTTCATACATAAGTGTAATGACAACTGTGATGTTATAACTATTGTTGGCGTCTATTACAAAATTAACAATAGTTTAAAATTTTTTACATATTATCATGTAATAAATAATGTAAATTATTTTGTTGAATAATAACACTTATGATTTTATCCCCAAACATGATGTTTTATTTCAATTAGGCATTTTAGGTCTCGTAAGTTAGTATTTAGTATATTAGTAAAATTACACGATAAATTAATCTAATCTGTGGTATGGCTGTTGTCTATCCAACTAATTTATTTACATTTTTTATAAATAATAAATAATTTAGTTTAGTGTCAATTCCAATTGCCATCATTGTTTTAGAAACTTAATAAAATATTATTATTGCGGTAATTAACCGAACGGGGAGGACTGGTAAAAATGTATTTAATCATATTGTATAATAATCTGACAATAATATTAGCTATTTTCATATTATAATTTACAACAGAAAACATACCGTTTTGCTATGAGTAGTGTGCTAGATAATTAATATTACTACTGCTAATTATGTACTAATTTTTATTTTATCAAGAACCTTTCACCATATAAGGTGTGAAACCTTTTTCTTTATTTCAATTTGTTGAGCGTAGTTTTAGAACTTGAGTCTGAAATAATTATCAGAGGCCAATAAACTCAAATAATTTTACAGAATTGAAATTGGACCATCCTAAGTAAGCTTAAATTTTCTGTGCTGCTGTTTGCAGTAAAAAATGATTTTTTGTGTTTTCTTCAAAAAGTGTATACTTTTTTTCCGTCTCAACACATCGTTGGCAGTTACCTGAAAACGTATTTTCTCATTGTGACAAAATTAGCATAAAGCGACTATCTGACCCAAGGTGGTCTACTCGCGCTGAACTTGTTTCAGTTTAAACAAAAATTGGAACGAAATTAATATTGGCTTTAGCAAACATTATAAAGCGTGATACTGAAAGATAGGTCAAAAAGAATGAAGCGAGAGGAGTGATTCAAAGAATAAAATTTATAACTATGTACGTGGTATTGATTGGTAAACTGTGTCGCAAGGCACAGTGTGAGGGTGAGCAGTCCGCTTGATTTTCAAAATAAAGTTGTTTATATATACCAGGGATCTTTATAAAATAATGCAGCGCTATGGGCCATGCACATTTTCCCGGGTGGGTCTAATGGAGCCAGACGCTATATAGTCCGCCAATGTCTCCGAAGGACGTGTTAATGTTGAAAGTAAAAGCGTATTATTATAACAATAACAATAATATTATTATTGTTATGTACGGTGGTTACGGTTATTACGTTTTCTTGTCATAATTTATTTTCAGCAACTGGCGAGCCTGAAATAAAATGTCATACCGTGTTGATAACACGAACAATTTCATATTCACAGTAATCACAGTTCGCTTCCCCAATCCTTAGTAAATTAACATTAAACATTTAGCAAAATCTAAAATCTTTCTTAGCTTAGCTTTCGATTAGTATTCATATTTTTCTTTTATTCGTGCAGTAGGTAAAAATTTCCTTGTACAAGTGTTCAGTATTAATATACTTATTATTATTAGTTAATTTAAAAATAATTGTTTACTTGTTGTCATACTTGAGTTACGTATTTTGTTTGACTTAAATTTGTATTACTTATAATTTTATACTGATTTGAAATATAGTTTACATTTACAATAATTTTTTCCTGCTAAACTATCAAATGATACTTTAATGACATGACTAACAATAATTGGACTCACGTTGGTGACAAAAAAAGATATGGAATCGGTAAGTTTATAAATTAATGTTAGTGATTTATGTAATTTATATGTGTCCCAACCATTGGGTGAAATGATTAGAAAATCCCTGTAACAATTTCATTTATTCCATTATAGTTGTCGTTAAAATAAATAATTGTAAATGTTATACATTTTTTATTTATGATTGGTTGGTACCCAAGTTAATATTTTTTTACTTATTTAGTGAATTACAAAATAAATTAATAATTATTGTTTACAGCAGTCGGTTTTTAATAAAAATTATTATTGGGAGTTATGCTGTAGTGTAACAATATTAATACTGTACGTAGATAACAATATTACCACACCTCTTCTCTCATAGTGCTTATTAGTTGAATATTACCAATTGACTACTTATTATTTACAAGTATATTCTCATTTAATTAGATACACAATGGCCTGACTTTGTACTAGTACAACTATGATTTAATATAATTGTTTTATAGGATATTTTGGGTGTACCTATCTAATGTTATAATAACAGAATATATAATAGTATATATATATTGCAATTATTTTGCATACATTTTTATTTAATTTCATATTGTTTTTTTGCAATTCAAAATTTAAACATATTACATCTAGTACGCGTACTAAAATATTAGCTTTAAATTATTAGTTTGTAAAACAAATGGACTACTTACATAATATAACTCATAAAAATAGAATATATGGTGTCCTTCTTAATTGTTATTCGATTATGCAGGGTAATTGGTACAGAAGTAAAAAGATAGTTTTATTAAGCTTTCATAAAAAGTTTGATATTTCAGTTAGCGGTATTATTAAGAATAGTTTAAAATATATTGTTCCTCAAACATTATCAGATTATACCAAATTACCTTAGACATATTCAGGGATAAATGCAAAAAAATATTTTTTTTTTCAAATTAGAATTATATTATATATATTATGTATGAGATATTATAAAATGAGAAGGAGGAGAAAGAGTAGGAATGGGTAAGGAGGCAAGAAGAATATCTGTTCGATGACTTAGCCAGAGGCTAGTAGCATCTAACCTATGGCGCACAGCCCCCACAAGCCCAACCCAGAGGCCTCAGATGAAGTTGAGACTTCAGTCCTGGGGCGTAGACCGAGGTCTGCAGGGTTCCCCAGACCCATAGTATGGGCTTCACCAGTGTAATGCGCTTACCGCGGTAGCTGGCCCGCGCCCAGTGGGCAGAGGGTTAGTGCACTTGTCAGCCGGACATACTCCAAAACTTAATAAGTAGATTCGAATGTGTGGGGTCGTAAGGCCCAATACCGCTCCAAGGGGCACCTGCACATAGGTGTTTAAGGCCACCTGCAAACCTTTGCGGGTCGGCGGGGAGTGCGTTTCAGCCAACATCTCCCGGCCCCCCGTTTCTTCTCCTCCGATGTTCTTTGGCTCCAACTTAAACATAGCGAATTTCTGGAATTGCTTCCAGATATTCCTAGTCCACGCAAATGTCTCCACCCTGCACAGCCAGACATGGCCTTAACCATATTCCCCAGACTACGCCATTGTTTGGCGTTGATCAGATACTCAAACACAAAATGCTCCACTGTCTTGCTAGGGGCCCAGCATTTGCACGAGGTGCTAGGGCTAGAAGTCAGCGTGAACTGGTGGAGTTTTGCATTAAGGGTAAGGAGGCAGTATGTTAGTGCTTACTGTCATCGGTTTAACACTTGACAGGAGGTTTTGTTTGCTGGGAGGGAAACTATCTAGTGGAAAAGAGCTGCCATCATCCTTTATGGCGTTTGTCTGAGACCAATTCCAAAAGTGAATTTGTCAAAAAACCATCTCATAATGGCAGCGTCAAGCCTTCAAGGCCCTGTTAAACTATTTGATGATGATAATATTATATACTAAACTAATCAGGTAGTTATTGTTCTCTAATCTTCCTTTGTCTATTTATCATGTTGTTTGAACGTATGCTATAAAATACATAACTTTTGTCACTCCCATCGCTAATAGTTACAGGATGAGCTAGTTGGTTAACACCAATGAAATCTAAATAATTGTAATTGAATATTTTAAAACAACACCGTACTAATAAAATAATAATAAAAAAGGGGATACCAATTATGTTGTAACAGGAATTGCTTGTTCTATTTAATTTAATTTCATACTCCATGTAAAGTAGGTTATATCATTTTGGATTAAACTATATTGCATACGCTTTGATTTTTAGCCATTCACAATTATTTACAAAACGGCCCCCATCGAATCAAGTTATTGGTTGGCGATTGTGTACACGTACTGGAAGAATGTGCTGATTGGTATTACGGATTTACATTCAAAAATAAATCCACTCACGGAATATTTCCTAAGAAATTTGTTTTCATCATGGATAATGTTGTTGAAAAATTTGGGTCAGTACCTGCTTTATTAGTGCATAATTTTAATAATTTTTTTATAACAAGTTATTTGTTTTTATTTTTATTAGACCAGCTGAGCTGACAGTCCTACAACAACCACAAATAGTGCATGAACTAACCAGTGTTGTTAGAGAATGGGCTATTATTTGGAAACAACTGTACATTGTAAGAATTTTTTTTCTTACCTTTTATAAACTTATATTTAATACTTTGATGTTTTTATTTTTTATTTTAGTTAAATAACTTAAATTTTAAAAATGTGGAAAACAAAATTTATGAGTTAGTTCAATTTAGAAGTAAAATATTATCAGGCACACTACCCGTCGATGAGTTAAAAGAAGTGCAAAGACTAGCCACGTCGACCATAGATGTTGGAAATAAGTATGCTAAGTATAATTTCTAAATTAGCGGCTATCACAAATAGTTTTGTGATAATTTAATATCAAAGTCCATTATAAAAATTTGCTTTCGAAAACTAATACTCTTTGCCCATTTAAGACCCGAAAGGAACCGAATACATATATTTTTGTAGAAAATGTATTAGTTAGATAAGTTAAAATTATTAGTCATTTTAACTGCAAACATTAAACCATAGTATTTTTCGTGGGATAACATAACTTAATATATTTTGCAATGTGCGTCAATATGTTGTATTTAATTTTATGTAATTTGATTTGAGTATAAATTACCTGCGCTGCTTTGTACAACACGCTTGTATAACGTTCATAAATTACATATTATGTTATATTCCTGAGGATTATATTGTATAATGATCCATCGTTTAAATTGTGTTATGGATTGTTAGCATTTCGTTATTGGTCATACAACTTTTTATGTGCTCAGATTATTGGGATTGGACATGGTCGTTAGAGATGAGCAGGGTAATATATTGAATCCACTACACACACCAACTATACAATTATATAAACATCACGAAACGGCTACAAATCGAATACAAAATGCTTCTGTAAGGAATTTACTTGTTTCTTTGTAATAAGCTCTTGTAGTTATTGAATTATTTTTACATTGCAGACTGCTGGGATTTATAAAAAGTTGATTGATCCAATCAATTATATGTACAATTACACTGTGTATTTTTCTTTACATAATTTTATGTGTAAAATTACTGATGATGCTGAATTGCTGTTGACTTTGTATGATGCTAAAATCGGAAAAGCAATAACTGAAAATTTTGTCGTAAGATGGAAATCCAACCAAATGGAACAAGGATGGTCAAATGATATTTTCCATAATTTTAGGGCTCTGTTTACAGTAATAATAATATTATAAAAAATAAGTTCTTAATGTTTAAATTTATATTTTTAACATTATTTTATATTCAGGACTTGGGAACTCGAGATCTAGCCAGAGAAAAAGTCTATTTAGTATGTTATATAATACGAATCGGTGGTATGGAAAATGATAACACCAGTAAGAAAAGTTTGATGACAACACAAATACGACGACCGTGGGGTGTCGCAGCTATGGATTTAACATTATATTTTACTCAAAAACTAGAAAGCGACGAAGACAAACACCATTTTATGCCTTTTTTGCCGTAAGATTTTATCTCTTTTTCAAGTATTTATTCTTTTTAAGGCCACAATCGTGGTCTGTTTTTTTTACTCAAAAACATGTTATACAGAAAAATTTCTCACAAAGTTTATTACTTTATTTTTATTTTTTTTTTTTAAAGAGTAGACTTCCTACACTACGACCGATTTTCAAAATTAATTTCTAAGTCCTTTTATAATTTTTGTATGAAATAAATTATTGAAAACAGATCATTCTAAGAGGCGTTATCGCTTTTCTCGTATACTTTTTTTCTCAAATTTTATCTGCATATCCTCCATTAATAGATAATCACGATAGGGCTCTTGTTATAAATTTAATTATATTTTAGGTGTGAAAAAGACAATTTGGAAAATACACTAAAGAGATTTATGAATTTGAAAGACTATTCTCACAAAGATCATAAGGGCCAAGGATTGCATGTAAGCTTTAAGCTGCTTCATGGTGATTTCAAACAGGTAACGTTATGATTGTAATAAATATTCCTATGTATTTTATATTATACAATTATACAAGTTAGTGCATATTACTATATTACCATTAATAAGTATAAATTTGGTTTATATAACCTTGGAATATTTAAATAAAAATTGAAATTATAAATCAAATTATTATTTAACAATTATCAAAATAATAATTTCAAATAAAAAATGTGAAATAATAAAATCAATAACATTTTATTTTAATGTAATTTTCAATTCTTTGTAGGTACGAGAAGAATATCCGCATTTAGTTTTAGGAAATGTTTCATTGGTTAGAAAAATGGGATTTCCTGAAGTCATATTACCTGGCGATGTAAGAAATGATCTCTATCTTATGCTAGTGTCCGGAGAGTTCTCAAAAGGCAGTATGTCTTCTGATAAAAATATTCAGGTTACAGTGACTGCATGTAATGAAAAGGGAGTTAAATTATTAGTAAGTAATTTACTGAATTTATATATTTATTGTAAAATATTATATTGTATCAATTACTGTAGGGAGTCATAATGCTGGGCGGCGACTCAGAACCCCTTTCAGATTTTAATTCGGTAGTCTACTACCATGAAGATAAACCAAGATGGTGTGAAATCGTCAAATTGGCTATTCCTATAGAGGATTTCAAAGGTAGTCATTTGAAGTTTACATTCAAACATCGATCGTCAAATGAGACTAAAGATAAAAACGAAAAACCATTTGCACTATCATTTGTTAAACTAATGCAAGATAATGGTACTACATTACGAGATACATCACATGAACTTCTCGTGTACAAGGTATGTAATTTCTCGTACTGAAATTTGTTGTGTTTAATATGTCAAAATGTTTTGTAAATTGTTTTACAGATTGACCATAAAAAATTTGATCCTATGGATATAGCATATCTCACACTTGCTTCTAGAAAAAACGAACTAATCGACACTAATAATCGCATATCTGTACCTGGTTTATCCTTAGCTAATAAAGATGGTTTTACAATAATCACAAATATTTGTTCGACTAAACTTACACAGAATGGTTTGTTTGTTAATTTTAATTTTTGTATTAACAATTGTTTTACCTCCAAGAGGGGGTTGTTAAAATAAATTTTAATGAATTTTACAGTGGATCTTTTGGGTTTATTAAATTGGACAAGTCATCCCGATAAGCTTCAAGAAAGCTTAAGTGCTCTCATGAAAGTAGACGGAGAAGAAGTAGTTAAATTCTTACAAGACGTGTTGGATGCACTTTTTAATATTCTGATGCACAATTCCGATTCGGATCTTTTTGATAACATGGTGTTTGATTGTCTGGTAAGTTAATGACGTTGTATTAGTTAAACTCAAATAGATTTGTACTAACTGTACCAATACATTTTGATTTACTGTTTCAAATAACTTGTTGTTTTAAAGTTTTTTGTAACTACAGTTTTATTTGATTTTATTGTTACAACTTTTTATTTTTAATAATCATTTGAATATTGGATGTTTTTATTGAATTATAAATCGACACCCTTTACAAGAAACTTCATATTTTATCTGTAAAACAAAAAACAACCCTTTAGACTTTTTTTTATTACAGCGGAAGTATTGTTTTTTGTTGGCCATTTGTAGTATTTTTTTTTTTTGGGAGTGTCGAAATGTTCTTATAAATATATTTTTATAAATTCCAATCATATATAAAACTAATATTAAACATTTGTTATTTATTATTTTGTTTTTTTATGTTAGCTTTATATTATCGGACTAGTGTCTGATAGAAAATATGAACACTTCCAACCGGTTCTAGATTTGTATATTAAGGAGAGTTTTTGTGCTACACTCGCTTACAAGTAAGAAATAAAATTCTCATTAGAATAATTTTTTCTTGTTTTACAACTTATTCATTTAAGATCTATATAAATAACACAGTGCAACCAAAAAATATTAATTCAATTTAAATATAAGTATTTGAAAGTCGCTGATTCCAAATAAATGATCATTATGCCCAATTGGCTCTTATTGTTGAGATATTGTCCATACTTCTTATGTAGTTACATAAACAAATTAAAAAGTATTTATTAAAATTAATATTTAAAAAATTGATTAATGATGGATTGTACATACCCATGTTATGTCAGTCACATAAAAATAATATTTTTAAGACTCGATTAACAGTCACTATTAAGTGCTCTCTAACTTTTACATCTTTCGTTAAATCCTTTAGAAATTATGCTTAATTAAAGTTATATAAATGTCTTCAAGCTCTAAAAATGTTATATAAATTGTTGACAATTTGACAAAGATAAAGCATTTGTTTATAACTTTGTTTTTAGTGAACTTTGGTAAAAATAATCAGTGTGTTTTTTTTCTGGTTGAACTTCAATTGATTTATTTATGAAGTTATAAAAATGCAAATCTTATGTTCCTATGACATAACATAGGTTTGTTCAATCCATCTACAAATTATCTTTTAATTATCAATTTAACAAATAATCACATTATATGTTTAGTATGTGACCATATAAGGAGTATAGAGAATATCTCAACACTAAAAGACAATTGGGCAGTATTACATATTTTATAAGTAATAACTAATATATTATGTTTTTATAAAGTAGTGTAAAAAAAATAATAATTGAAAATTGCACTAGTAAATGTTTAGACAATATTGAAAATTATTTTCACAAATAATACACAACTCTGTAGTACTCTATGAGTTATTAATTTATTAACCTGTATTTTAGTAAGTTAATAGTAGTTTTGAAGTGCTATTTATCCAATTCGGAACATACAGACAATTACCATCTTTTGAATATAATAAAGTCGTTTAAATACATTATGAAATTCATTGCAAGATCACGGTTTTTATTTGCTCAGTGAGTTTTTATTTGGGTGACCTTAATTAATAATTATTATATTATCATTAAAATGTTATTATCCTGTACAGATTGTATGAAGGCAAAGGACAGCAAACATTTGAAGCATCAATGTATGAAATGTTGAAAGTTATATCAAAATTAATGTGCAGTAATTCAGATTCAACACTCTTAATTCAAGGGGCTTGCCTAAAATATTTACCTCATTCTATCCCTGATATTATAACAGTCTTTAGTGGAACACAATTAAGGTACATACTTATTAATTATATAGACAAAAAATAGTGGGTCAAACGTGTTAAAAATTATTATTTTTCTATATAGTTCATTGCTAGTAGAGCTCATCGGAAATGTACCTCCATCGAGGCTAGTCAAACAAAAACTGATGACTATGAGCGATATCGTTCACAGTCAACTTTTTTTAAATGCAGATTGTCGAGCTATTTTATTACCGTCCATTTTAGCTCGAATTAAAGAATTATTGGAATCTAAAGATGAGGTTAGTTTAAATTTGTTAACAGGGCTTCTCTAGGTTGTATAATCAACTGCAATTTTTTTTTTAGGGTAATATAATATAATAAATATTACAATGTTAATAAATTGGTATTATATGGTTTTATATCAGTGCAGTGGTGTAATTTAGTTAAGTTGTTTTAAGATCAAAAATATAATTTATCATTTTTAGTAACCAATTTACATACAATTTTCGGGTGCTCGTAAACTCTGGTTATATTTTTGTACATTAAAAAAAAAAGATATAAATTAAATTTGAATTTGAATTCCGCTACTAACAAGGAGAGGTCGCAGTCAGTGAAATTAAACGGAACTAAAATGTTTTAACAAAACAACACAAATCCTTATTGCTTGATTAGAGGCAATATTTCTTCTGAGCTAATAATAATAATTTAAAGAACTGGTTTTGAACTTAAGTTATGAGATTTGAGAGTGTCAAAGTTCTCAACAGCACCTTATTCAATTATTTCTGACAGTGGTTTTTTTATTAATTTCTATAATTTTCATTTAAATCTGTGATTCACTTTTTATGTGATTTCTTTTTATATATATATAATAGTTATACTTAGTATATTATATTATAAACGGCATTAACATGTGAGACGCATTTTAATATTTGTTTATGAAGTATAATAATTAAAGCATTTTGATGTGTGATGCATGCTTGTATCTTTATAATGTTTTGTCTTGGTATATTTTTCTAACCATCAATGTGTGTTTATTAATAAAATTAAAAATTTTAGTAAAAAAATATTATTGATTTTACTAAACTTTTTTTTATTGTTCAAAAAAATGTTTAGATTTGTTTGTGCACAACTAATTGTATGTTTAATGTTATAATGTTGCGTTTAAACCTATTTCAGTGATTAAAGAGTTAACATTGTGGTCGTTTGCTGTCCTATTTCTCACAGCACATTGGCAAATTTTGACTGTTTATGTGCTTTTGTTGGATACAATTTCAATAATATTTAATTAAATTATTAACATGGTGATAGTAAATTAATATTTAGCTTTTTATAATTCTTTACCTTTTGTCTATCTGTGATTATTTTTAAAAACAAATTATATGAAATTTGCTATGAATATGGTATAAACTTTAAAATGAATAACTTAAATTTGAACTAAATAATTACTACTTACTTTTTGTTTTTAAATATAAATATAAGTATTCGGTCATATATTTTTTTTTTTACTAAAATACTTAGATAATCTATATTTATATTGACTATTTTAATTTATTGATCAATATATTGGTTGTAAGGGTTGCATGCATTTTATCTCATGTTTTTTAAAATTCAAATTTACTGTTTAAAAGAATCTGTTAATTACATGACCCAAACTATTACTTAAGAATTACATACAAATCAAAAGTCTATAGTTTTGATAAAAAAAAATAATAATAATTAAGGTGTTTTATTGACTATTTAAATTGGCATTATTTTATACATATTAACATAACATAGAGCATTTTAATTGTATGTTTCTAACAGGTCTTGGATGTTAATTATTACAATTATTTTTATCTTGGTTTATCTTTAAATTAACATAATATGCTTATTACTAACATATAAAATAATTATTTTACTACTTATTTTCTATGTTAACGAGTTTCTATTTATGCAAATTAATCAGCTGGCAGATGCAAATATATTTAAACTTGAGCAATTTCAATAATGTAATAAATATAAATTTAAAAAATAATTTTATAATTATAATATGTTTTTACAACTATTGGTATACTTGTACCAATAAGTTATATTTAATGGCAATAAAAATAAATGCATTTAAAAAAAAGGAAAATTATTTTTTTAAATATTGTTTATTTTACTACAAATAAAAACTAAAGAATTTTAATACTTTTTTTATAATTTATAATTTTAATAGACACATCATGTAATTTATTTAAAAGCGAATTTCTTAAAAATTATTTCATTTCTTTTCTTGGATATATTTTGTCCACTGTTTTGTTCTATTAAATAGCATAATGTGTACAACACATTTAATTTAAAATATGTATTGGCAAAAGAGACTGATGAAACATGGTCAGGTGACATCTGTAATATGCACTATGGTAAAATAACAAGTAAATGGCCCCTGTTTTCCCATTAGAGCCTATTAGTTTCTTTAGCCAATTATTCTCATACATTATTCAGAAACATTAATTTTTATTATTGGCAGTTTTATTATCCTCTCACTATAATATAATGAGAACAAATATTTTAAAACATTAATGATTATAGTTAGTCCATTTTCTTGTGTTTTATTCAGTAAAGGATTTTTGTAAAATAAAGTTAAATAAAAAAGATTTCATCTGCATGGCATCTACAAGCAAATACATTTGGTTGAAAATCATTTGATAGGTGATTTTTAGTAGTATTTATTAACCCTCAGGCGAAAACTAGCATCGAGTATCGCAACAAAACCAAATCTGTAGCAAAAATTGCCAAAGTGCTGGGAGCCAACGGCCGCAATCTACTCGACTCTCCTGACATAAGTGATCAAGTATGTTAATAATTCTTGTACAATTATTTTGTCACAAACATTTCATAATATAGGTTTTTATCGTGTGAGTATAACAAAATATATTAATTCTCATTCAGTTTTGTTCATTCAACATTAAAAAAATGTACTTAATTTTTATGCAAATTAATAGAATATGTAGTGAAAGGGCAAGTCATTTCAGTAAACTCTATACAATTGTGGTTTGCAAGCATGAAATTAGAACAAAATGTCATCTCAGAACATTGTTTTTTTTTTTTATGTGTTTTAGACTTAAAAATATTTAACAAAAACACACATATATATGCTAATAATTATAAATTTTATAATAGTTATTAATAATTATTAAATATTCTAAAACAAGATGTTCATACAGATTATTTATTGAAATAGGATTTAAATGTATTAAGTTTTAAAACGTGCGTATGTGTTGTGTATTATTGCTAAAAAAGTTTTGTTTTATTGTTATTTATGAATTTTCAAATGTTATTTTGTTTAAAGTGTTGTTTATTGAAGTACTTAATATTATTCTTGTGAATGCATTACTTAACATTCTATGTATTTCCTTGTAAAGACTTATAAAAAACTATAAAATGTATGAATTGATTGAAAGAGTGATTTTTCATAATTGTATAGGTTGAAATGTGCGTAAAATTACTAGGCGACATCATGGATCTTTTATACGCAGCTGATACAGGATCAACATTTCGCGATATCACTGAAATTATGCTTACTGTAATGCGCACAGTCATTCAAACTACAATAGCGATGGACCGAGAAGGATCACTTCAAGTTAGTAAGATTTAAGAAAAATTGTTTTATTATCTAATATATGGTGTTTGATTTGTTTTTAGGGCTACCTAGTCTCAATAATGATAGCGATATTACGGCAAATGACTGCTGATCATTTTGATATCTACATTAAACACTTTCCTACTAAAATAGATCTGTTAGATTTCCTTATGGAAATATTGTTAGTTTTTAAAGATCTTGTATCTCGACCTGTGTTCCCTAAGGATTGGTGCGAAATGATTATGCTTCAAAATAGGTAAATGAAAAACTTGTCAATACATTTCTGTATAATACTAACAATTTTGGATCCGCCTCTCTTTCAGTGTGATATTGAAATCATTGAGATATTTTTCTCATACAATCAGAGATTACTTTTTAAAAGATTTTGAACATCAAGCTTGGAATAACTTTTTTCATTGTGCCGTCACATTCTTAACGCAACCTTCTCTTCAATTGGAACAATTTTCATCCAACAAACGCTGGAGAATCATCAGTCGGTATAAAGACATGCGTAGAGAAACCGGATTTGAAATCAGAAGCATGTGGTTTAACCTAGGTAATGTTCAATGATATTGCATTAAATTAAAAATTGTAATCATTAACATTTATTACAGAACTAAATTTTGATTTGTTTACAGGCCAATATAAAGTACATTTTGTGCCCAGTTTGGTCAGATCGTTCTTAGAAATGACATTGACACCAGAAATTGAATTGCGTAAAGCCACCATACCGATTTTCTTTGACATGATGCAATGTGAGTTTTATTCTTGTAGTGACAGACACACAAATAAAAGGGACTCCAGTAATATCAAAGCTAAATTCAACGAAGTACGTATCCCTTAATATTAATAATTTACAAGGCTTTTCTAACAAAGGCTGCCATTCACAGTTCGAAAATGAAATGATCGCTAAGCTAGATTACTTGGTGGAAGGAGGAAAAGGTGATGAACAGTTTAAAGAACTTTTTAAAGCTATAATGCTAATGCAATGTGAAAACCATTCCACTATGAAAGAACAGGTAAACACTACTTTATAATAAATAAAATACATTTTATTATGTTGTATGAAAACGAAATATTTTGTTTATTCATATTTAGTGTTTGAAATCTGACATATTTCATTAAATAGTGAAATATTGGCTTTTTATTTATAATATTTCACTATTTGGCCCTACTGCCTTGTCTCCATCAATTGAGGAGATAATTAGATATCAGTATTATAATTTTTAAATGTGATAGTGATAGCACACATTAAAACGATTTAACTTTTACCGTTTAATAAATTAACACATTGTGTTATTTTTGTTTCTTAATATTACAATTTAGGGTGTACGATTTGTTAAAATCGTCACTTGTTTGTTGGAGTGTTTACTCGAGTATCGAGCAGTTGTCAACGATGAAAATAAGGAAAATCGAATGAACTGTACTGTTAATTTATTAGTGAGTATTTTTATTTTTTCATATTTATTTGCTTACAGACACTGTTTGCTTAAACGTACCTGTTATTCTATAAAAAATATAACAATTTTGTTTTTGAAATTTACTTTGATTGACAATTGTAAAAATAGTCCATACAGGTTTATTATTTAATTTAGTACATCTGACAATATTTTTTAAAACATATTAATAATTTAATACAAATAATAATTTAACAAAATAATAATGTAAGTTGTACTCTTACTAGTAAAGTAAATAAATATGTAATATTTGAACAAACTTTGCAGGTCATCATTGATTTAATTTAATTTAATTTATAAATTAATTTATCACTATTTTATTATATTTCGATTTTATTTATACATAAACTTCACATTTTAAAATTTAAGTAAAAATAGTGCTTTTATGACAATGGAAATATACTTCAATTTTAATACTGAAAATTAAACTTGCAAACAAAAGTTATTTATATATTATTTATTTAAAACAAATATTTGCATTTTGTTACTTGTCAGAAAAAAATCCTAGGTGAAAAAGTTCCAATTACAAATATTAAACATGTTTAAAATAAGTAGTCATGTAATAGGAAAAACAATTATTTCGTTTATTATTTTTATAGTTGATTAAACATGATATGTTATGAGAAGAATATAACTAAAAGTTGGTTTAAAGTAAACTTAAGTATATTGTTGTTGCATAAAATACAAAAACAAAAAGGCGCTGTCTATCCTAACACTTGTATACACGTTAAATTAACTCCAAAAACCTAGAATGTTAAAAAAAGGGCTAAAAAATGAACTAATCTTTTTTTGCATGGAATCATTAAATTACAAACATGCTGTTGTTATCTTATGTTTTTATTTTAACTTGGATACTTTTTTCATAACAAACAAGAGTTGTCTTTCAGGTAAATCCGTAAAATGTGTTAACCCATCAGTAAGATGTAGCCAATAATTTTAATTGATAAAAACCCAACTGTTTGACTATTGCCGCAGTTATTGAAAATTAAATAATAAAACATTGATTGTTTGGAAAAAATTGCCAACACAGATTAATTTTTATAGACAATACATATAATAATAACTCGATATTTATTTATTTCTAAATATGTAAACAATAACATTTTTTTAAGTTGCTGGCACAGCAGCTGTATATATTTATATTCGTATAAATAACAATTTATAATATACAATAATTGAATAGTTTACATTAAACACTACATTTTTTATAACACAGTCATGAGACAACTCATAACTATGCTGTCTATGATGACTAATCTAATTGTAAATAACGGACGTCTGCGAGAAGAAAAAACTAAAAACATTCGTTTAACACAATTTATTTTGCGTAACGTTAGTGATAAATGATAATACATATTATATTATGACAGATAAAAATTAACAACATAATAATATACAACCAAAGACTTATATTATAATATATTAAAATACTACTGTGTAGTATAAAGTCTATGTGCTTAACACGTTTAAAATTTTACGTCAAACTCTCATAATTTTATATTTTTATATTATCAATATGACATATACAGTATACTCATGTTGTCTAAATGTCAATATATTATATTTATTTATATAAAAATATATATTGCATAATTTCCCATTTAACACGTGTGTTTTGAAAAATAGAATAGATTTTTACAGTGTATCCAACATAGTTTTTGAAATATTATGTAGGTATTATTTCAATGTTATAAGCCAAAATATAAATATTTAATATACATCCAGCCGAGATGTGTTTATTATTATTAATGAATTATAAAGCGTCAAGCGATAGCGTCGGTGCCAGTCGATATGTATTTTACAATAGGATTTCTCAAAGGATACGTTTTATTAATCTTTTTTCGCAAACTATGCAATTATGTCATACCTAAGTCAGTGATTATTCATTGCACATTTGGTAGTTATTAATAAACAACAAAATCATATTTTTACTGTTGGAAACTCGACGTTTTCTAATAAATAGTTTATTGAGTGGTAATTAACTAGAATAACATGTGCATTATATTGATATGAGACTGACAACCAAGTTTTAACGATTTTTTTTTTTAGAATTTTTATATGGACATAAAACGGCAGGAAATGTACATCAGATATGTGAACAAACTTTGTGCACTTCATTTGGATTGCGATGACTTTGCAGAAGCAGCGTATACGCTAAAACTTCACAGTGAGTTGCTATCGTGGTCGAACGATCCATTACCACCTTTGCTCCGATCACCCTTGCGTTACCCAACGTGCGATACACACAGACAACTGAAGGAAGCTCTCTATCATGACATTATAGATTATTTTGACAAAGGAAAAGTAAAAAAATAATTGTATTTTTGTCTTTTTTCTAATTTTAATAATATTTTATAGTTTTAATTGAAAAATTGTGTAAATAGATGTGGGAATGTGCTGTAAGCATGTGCAAGGAACTGGTAAGGCAGTGTGAAGGTGAAACATTCGATTACATTCAGCTAAGTTCTTTGTTGCGTCGCATGTCCAATTTCTACGATAACATTATCAAACAGCTCAGGCCAGAGCCCGAATATTTCAGAGTAGCGTATTACGGCAAAGGGTTTCCTAAATTTTTACAAAACAAAGTATACGTGTATAGAGGTAAAGAATACGAGTTTTTGAGTGATTTTTCAACTAGAATTTGTCATTTGTTTCCCGAGGCCACTTTAATGCAAACACTTTCAAAACCCGAACTAGAAATCACTGAATCTTCCAAGCAATGTATCCTTTTTCAAATAAATAATAATTGTTTTATAGATATTATAAAGTATCTTTAAAAGGTATTACAACGTTATCTCATTTTCCACTCTTCTTTTACATTTCACTCATCTCTTATTGTCTTATGTTAATAACTCATAACCACTATTGATATGACGTACTAAATATTATAAAGTAATTTAATATATTATTATTAGACAATTATTCCTGACGTTTCATAATAGATTTACAAATAAATAGTATAGAACCTGTAATGGATGATCAAAAAGAACATCTATTAAAAAAACCCATAAATGAACAAATCCTCAGACATTACAGGTAAATATTTTAGTGAAAACATTTTTTTAGTATTTGAATTTTTTTAAATATTTGTTGTAGAGTTAACGATGTGAAGAGATTCAAATTTTCAAGACCTTTTTACCGAACAGATCCAAAACTAGAGTCTAATACCGATAATGAATTTGCAAATCTTTGGATTGAGCGTACAGTAATGGACACTACTTACTCTTTACCGGGTATCTTACGGTGGTTCCCAGTAAAACATTCCAAAACCTACGAAATAAGTCCACTGGAGAATGCTATTGAAACAATGCAGGAGGCTAACAGGTTAGTACATATTATCAATAATTTACAAAATGAAATATGTTTTATTCATCTTCTGGAAACCAGTAAATTCAATTTGCTACAAAAATTAATATGTTTGGTTTGGAAGAGTTAAACTACTTTTTCTACATAATTTGAATAAAGAATTTTTAATAGAGATTTTTAAACATACCAATCTAAAATAAAAGGGGAAAATTACACTTAGACCATATTTAATTTCTAGCTTGCTATGTGTGAAAGAATCAACAGTCAACAGGTATCAGCAAAATATTTTCATTATATTGTTGATTACAATACATGGTTAACAAACAATAACATTTTAAGTTAGATGATCAACTCTAATCCACCCTGATACTTAAATTACGATATTAAACACATTACCTTTACTACACTTACCTTACTATGCATGACTCCTCTGTACTATTTTTTTTTAATATTAAACTAACTTGCCTAATCTATATTTGTTTTAATTTGTGTTTTTTTAATTAGAGAACTTAGAGAATTGATCATAGCACATCGTAATGATTCTTCATTGCCTGTACATCCACTTAGTATGAAATTGACGGGCATGTTGGATGCTGCTGTAATGGGTGGAGTAACCAAGTATGAAAAAGCGTTTTTCACACCGGAATATTTTGCGAGTCATGAAGAAGATGAACCGTTAATTCAACAGTTGAAAGATTTAGTCGCTTTACAAATACCTCTATTAGATATTGGCGTGAGGGTTCATTGCGCTCGGGCAGATCCCAATTTGACTCCCTTGCAACTACGACTCGAAGACTGTTTCGAAAAAATGAAAGCACACATCGAAGACAAATACGGCAAAAGGGTACATATACTATGAGACATCCTCGTTGTCCGTTAGCAAAGCTTTGAAGTGTGGAAAATATTATAAAACATTGTTTTTTTTTTTTTTAAGACTTGTGATATCAAATTTGATAATGTTAAATTGAGGCGACATACGACAGCTGGAAATCATCTCACTGAAAAAAGATATTCTGGTTCCAGTATAGGATCAACTGAGTATGTGAAAACATATTTTCAATTATCGGCAAGAAGATTTCAATGAGACATTTTTTATTTTCAGTGGACTAAATGGAGTAATCAACTCAAAATCACCATTAATGACTACTACGTCATTATCTTCAAGTCTGGCTATTTTTGCGGGGCCCGTGCTTGTGTCAGGATCAAATAAATTTGGGACAATTGGTGCACTTACAAGGAAGGACAAAAAGGAAAAAAAAAAACGCAATAAAACAGTATCAAAGATGACAACGTCATCAAATGATAGAATTTCCAGTATTTCGAATACTTCCACCAGCAATAGTCATTGGTATACGTCAGATAATGACAGCATGTCCATGTGTTCAGTAAACAGTAGCTTAAGCGTATTTACACATACGCCTGTTATTGAGTTGCGACAAGAGGTAATTATTATCAATATTATTTTTGTATAAACAAAATTTAATACTCCTATATTACATCCTACATATTCCTATCCTACATATAGTTGACGCCAAAACGACCGTTGCGCTCGGAAGTAGAAAAAGAGAGGCGGCTGAGTCGCCCTAACAGTGGACAGTTCCAGTTTTCTAAGTTACCGTCGATGAACAGTCTTAATAGAGATTCATTAGGTAAATGTGTAAAACAATGACGTTAATAAAGTTTATCTATGTGTCTACTAAGTTAAGCACTTTCAATAATGGTCATATGCATTTTATTACAGTAACGACAGACTCAACAGCAAGCGATGACGACACCCCACCGCCGTTACCAGCAAAAGCCCGAGAATCTGATTATAGCAATCTCTCGGACAAAGACAATTTGGCCATGTCAGATTATTCTAGTCCAATCATTATGAATAACATTATGGTAAGCAATTAACAAATAGTGCGACCTATTAATACTTATTACCGAAACACATTTTGTAATTAAAAATGAATTATTATTTTATTTAGCCTCTTATGAATTCGCAAGAAGACATCAGGCCACCGACCCCTCCTCCTAAAAAACCACAATTAAAGTCTCCTATGTAGAAATATATGTTACATTTATTTATTTGTATGACCAGTATTTCTTCTCGGGTTTAATATCAAACTCATAACATTTTTAAAGTATTATTGAAAGTACCTAATACATATTTATATTATATGTATATATAATACATTTATGTATACATAAATGGTTTATAAATGAATAAATTATTTATGTAGTTCATTTATAAAATGTATATTAATATAAATTTTTTTTTCGTAATTGAATAATAGTCTGAACAAAAATAAAATTAGTACTTTTTTATGTATACTGACAGAAAGCGGTGCAATATTTTTCGGTATTCTCATGTGTTATATTTTTTATTGTTTATTAATGAATTATGAAAAATAAGTGTATCGTAGTATTATATTAATTTATTATACGTATAGAATAGTATTTTTATACAATTGACTTGGTACATACCATAGGTTTGTGTACCTACCTCGGTAGACTGCTTCATTATAAATGAGTAGTGTAATTATTAATTGTTAAGTAGTGGAGCACTCGACTCGTTTACAAAATTTGTAATCAAATCAGTTACCATATAGAAACTCGATGGAAAAATATGTCAATTAATTTAAATTATTAAACCTTCCAATGATTTTATACATTGTTAGTGTATAACAATTTAAACTGTACCTACATATTAATATTCTATTTTTATAATTGGAAAAAGAAATGAATATATCAAAATATGTTTTGTACTTTTTTTTTTAATAATAATTACATGTATACTATATTTTATTCTATACTTTAAATCTTTTCTTATATTTTTTGTTTTTTAGTTAATTACTTTAAAATATGTGTTTGTAGTGGTCATTCAGTTTTACCAAAGGAATAAACTTTAGTTTTTAACTTCAGTATTCAATATGTCTAACAATCCTCATAAATCTATATAATTGTCCTATAACTTTATCACTGTATTATATTAACTGGCTGGGCAAAATCGAAAATAATTGATTTACCAAATAACAATTATTTTGTAAAATATTGTAATGAAGTAGGTATATGAGTATTGATATTACTGTCTTAGGTAATTAGAATTCGGAAATAATAACCTAGTTGAAAATAGCAACACAGACGGAACGAATGTGAGTTGGTTTAAATTTTAACTATAACAAACCATGTCTATTTGAGTGGTTTAAAACTAGTTCAAACAATAAAACCACCGTTTTAAATAAATTGAAACGTATCTAAAACGTCTGTTAAAACATGACACGTAGCATTATTTATAGTAGGTACTCAAAATTATGTTATTAACAGGATATCATATATGGGGGGGAGGGGGAGGCACCATAAGGCCTTCGATATATTAAAAGAAGCCATAATTTCTTCTCTAGTATTAGCGCGTTAAATGACGCTGGAATATTGCGTCCTTGAAAGGATTACATGTTATTTTGATGGAAGAATAAAATACTTATGGAAAAATGGCATACTCCATCAGAAAGCTAGAATGGAGGGGAGGAGAGGAACATGTTTCTCGAACATAACTCAAAATAGTAGCTGTAGTTCTACGAGCTACACGAGATTTCTTTATCAGGCACTGACAGTGATGTGTTATTTGTGTTGTTAGTAAAAGTATGAGGGTTTGATGAAAAATAAAAATGATTTTAATGAACATCAGGTTGAAAAATCATGTGTAATAATTTACTTAATTTTCTTTAAATGCTTTGTTTATGGGAAAGTATTGCATGGGGTTTCAAATTTTATTATCCAACTATAACTAAATAAGTGGTATTAAAACTGATTTCTAATGATACATTTTGTGATTATTATATCTTGACTTTTTGTAATGTTTATTGAACACAATATAATGTAAGCAAATTTGGAAAATCATCCTACAATACATCACGGTTATAGTATAAATGTAGGGTTGAAAGAGATTTATTACGGGGGGGGGGAGGTTAGATGGTGAAACCTGTTACAAGTGTGTATGATGTACTAACACTGGGGGCACTAAAACTTCTGTTGCCCTGAGGCCCAAAAGTCTTAGTCGCAGCACTGATCAGCCTACGAGAAAAAATAGTGTTATACGACTATTCGTGTTTACATATAATATAACAAAAACCCACTTTACTAAATTTATTTTTAGACTTATGAAAGATGTTTATTAAATCACACAAGCCCGCCGGTAATTAATCGTAAACCAGCATGACCAGCATCAGACATTGTCTTACCTACTCGTTATACCGTTTAAAGCGTTGTACCTACTTCATTTTTAAAAAATGTTTGTACCTAATTAATGTTTGCACGTGTTTTTCATTTCAAACGAAAAGTATACCTAATTAAATGCATAATATACATAATATAGACCGCACATAAAACAAAATTGTGTATTTATACTTACTACATAGGGAGGATAATGAATATTACTGAGAGAAATTGTTAATAAAAGGTGACTCATATTGATAATCATTAAATAATACTCGGGAGAGGTCATTAGGACGTGATGTCATAGAGTTATGTACATATTGTAAATTAACTAACCGGTATAGTACTGTAAATTTAATATTGATAACTTTATTTTAGAGGAATAAATATAATAATACATAAGTTGAGAGGTATAGGATTAGATTCCCGGTACCTACGTACCTTTCCAAGAAGGTTTTGTCCTTTAGTTTTTAAGTATTTAAATCTTGCCCGTTATGATTCAGTCGAGAATGGAGAAATTATAATTGGTTATTCTATACTAAGACGACCATTTAATTTGTTTAATTATTTACAAAAAACCATGTTCGTCAAGAAATCGCTATCCCGTCTTCCATTTTCGGATCAATAGTGGTTCGAAAATTCGCCAAAGCAAAACCCCCGTCTAAGGTCGAAGTTTGTAAGGAAAAAAAATGCTTTTCAATTAGTCCATAATAAGTCGGAGTGTGTATTTTTTCCACCAAAAATTACGGCAATCGTGACTCCAGCATTTGATTTCAAGGACCAAAACGCGTAAGATGATGTGCCGGATCAAAATAATAGACAAAATACAATAAGAGAATAATTATTCAAATTCATTTTTGCGAAATTGTATGCGACTACACTAAGCAGAGGTATAATAAGTTGTTTTCACGTTATCATGGCTATCACGTTAAGCCGGGATGCCTAGTGGCATTCAAATGTAATCGGCTCTTTTATATTAAGTTTTGTTGCGCTGTTTGTTTTACAGACTTGTTGTAGGTATGCCTTAGTGATTTTAATAAGCAAATCTAAAGGAAAACAGTATTGGACGTATTTAGCTACCTATCAAAGACTGACGTTTACTCGCGACCCGTGGAGCAAGTATATTGCCATATATATAGACTGTTCTGACGAGATTTGCGAGATTTCGCATACAATTGCTCTTTTTGCAGTTCGATTTCAACCTTTCAAGCGGCTGAAAGCACTGAAATTTAAGTGCACCGAGCACGTATGCGGCCTTTATTAGGGTTTTCCAAGATAAAAAAAAAACCCCCGAGAAACATCAAAATGGACGTCCCCTTTTTCGACTAAGGCGGATTTCTTTTTCTTTCGTTTCCATTCATTCTTTGTCCCTTGGCGCCCGGAGCGGTAAAAGGCAATTCTTATTCAGTCAACAAACAAGCGAGGTTAACTTAAAGAATAGGATTTATTTTTTTTTATACCACATTACAGACACGCGAATCCATTATTGGAAATTGGGGCGTCTGACAAACACGAATAGTATTAGCGAATTAAGACACACGATACAAAGGCAAGACGTGATCCGGCTTAAAACCATACGTCTATTTTCATTTATTTTCTGAGAATTAACGTTGAATATAATAAGATTCCGTTCCGGCATTGGTTGCCACTTCGGTTGTTGCATTTTTTTTATAACTAAAAATTACAGTTAAATTGGGGCAGAATACTACTATCATTTGTGCACTATCATTTAATATTAAATATTATCTTTTACCTCCCCCCCAGTATCTAATGGCATTTACATGCTTTCAGTCTTATAATAATTCCTAGATAACCGTCACGGCCCAGGTCTCACAATGCCTAAATTAAACTAAAAATGTTAATCGTTTAAATTTGTTTTTTATTTGAATGTCAAATGTGATATCTAATAATTAGTCATTGAGGAGATCTTTAACAACCGGAATTAATGTTCTATATACGTTTAGATAATATTGTTGCCGAGTTTGGACCACCATTTATTAGTCCTATTACCTATAACGTTAAAACTTTTATAATATATTTATATTGTGAAGTTTTTATAAAATCCTTTACATGACATTATAACACCAATGCATAATGTACTTTTTCAAAATAGCATTTTTGTAGTTAAATGTTAAAAATGCATGTGCCACTCTTGTTTTTTAACCAGATTTACACTTTGCAAGAACAAATAAATTGTATTTGAAACCTCAGATTATCTCAGTTATTCCTATAATCTATTAATTTATCGTGATCGTGTACCTACTTGTATAATATTTATATAATTATATCCAATGAAAATTCGGTAGTTTTTTTCCCACTATCTCCTCAACAATAGGCAATAGCGGTCACTGGTGGGTTTTTAAACTTAAAAAAGGTAGACATGTTCGCTCGAATTGTATAATACTTATTTGCAAAACATGTACATAATATTATTATATACATACAAAATATAGGCGCCATCGTACAGTTGTAAATTATTTCCATATCTAATAAAACAAAATTGTTAACAAATATAGTTTTTTATTGTGTTTTATTTTGAATCTCAATAACTGTATGGAATACAAGCTATTATATTAGAATTGTAAATTGCGTTGTAATAATTCTATAACGGTACACGGACTTTTTACGCCTTTTTACGCTTATGGATTTTGTTTATCTAAAATACATTAACATAAATCAAAAGACAGCGTTTATATTTCCGCCAGGGTTGCTCGTGTGATTTGTTTTCAAGAGTCATTAACCTCCGAAAGTCGACAGTTTCAGCATAAGCGATAAAATTTCAACTTTCGCGTTCACGAGTCATTTTTATAACGGTCGCATAATATTTTATTATAATAAGGGACTACCGTATACAACTGTGTGTGTATAATAATAATAATAATATACCAGAGCTGTCGAACGTGGACGAGAAAATCCCTGTAGTGGTATAAAAACAACAAATTTGATACAAATGAAACCGCTCGTTGTAAATTGTCACAGTGAAAATATTTTTTAAATATGTATGCGTGTTACATTGGTAGTATCAGCTGTTTATCTTCTTTCCGCTCGCGAGTTAAAAAGATACTATACTACCTTTATAGCGAGGACGGTATTCGCAAAGATACGACATAATCCTCCAAAATCCAAAACATAGTGTTTGGACATGTTTGGCAAGATCGTGAAATTTATAATAAAGCATCATGATTCTACATTACTAGTTTTATCACGAAAACTCGAACTAGTGTTTTTTCACGAGATTAATGAAATAACAAAGGATAGAGCATAGGAATTAGGAGAATTGATAGTAGTGCAGGGAAAATGAAAGTTATAAAGGGACAGATTAATTATGTCCGCCCGATCGATTATCCAAATAAGTAAAACGCTTAACGTTACATTAATGTCAATCTAATAATTATTTATTCAACGCTAAATTGATGCAAGTATAATTACTGATGGACATGCGTAGAGTAGAATTATGTGATGAGAGATAATTTGATTTAGTGCTTAGAAAATGTTATACAAGGAGAAAAAATAAATTAATAATATTAAGTGTAATATTAGTTAGTTAAGTTAATTAAAACACGTTT